CACGTACTGCATGGAGCACTGGATGTTATACGAAAACAATGGATCATGGATCACTACATCAAAAACTAATGATGGAAAAAAAAAAAAAAAACTAATGATGAATGTATGGTGATTAACATAACATAATAAAATTAAATTAAAAAATAATAATAATAATTCTACTCCATGTCATGTTTCCCCAAGAAATGGGGAAAAAGAGCGAAGAAGAATAGAGCAGAAGCAAAGCGGGGGAGAAGGACAAGTGACTGACAGAAGGAGAAGAAAGAGAAGGAAGAAAAGCACACAAAAGAGAAATGGAAACACCAGTAGAGCAAAAGACATCCATAAGAAGCAAGGAGAAAAGAGGGAAGAAAGTCAAAACTTTGTTGTTCACTTGGACAACATGATACCGATTTCTATCAGTTCCCTTTGAAATGCTAATTAGCTGACTAGCTAGTATCAGACTCAAAACCCTCATTCTGAAAAAAAATCTTTATTCAAATTGGAAAAGTATCTCAGTCTTCCTCTGAGGAACTAGTCTCTGAATTACTAAGCACTGTCTAACAATTCTCAGAAGCTAGAAGTAGCCCCCACCCCATCTAGAGGTTTTTAAAGAAAAATTCTTGGATCATATTTCCAAAGGGGTTATATCCCTTACCAAACCTTATCCAAATATATAGATATTCAACTCAAAATGATGGAATAAACTGTCCACTGGCTTTATGGTCATTGAATTCTCTTATTCAAAGTCAGATCAATTGTTTGGGCTGCAGGGAGAAAACAAAAACACCTGGGGTCAGCTGGACTCAATTCAGTGGCGAGGGTTTACTGGAAGGAACAACTTCTCCTCTACCCTCTTGGTTCTGTGTCTGCGGGCCTGCAAATTAAATTGACAAACAGATTAGCAAGACAAAATACAGATTTAATTACATATAAAATCATGTATGTAATCATGTGTGTAAATATGTAAATTATGTATGTACACACAGGAGTTCCCAAAGAGATGTGACTCCAAGGAGGTCATTAGATTTTGGAGTTTATCTTAATAGGGGATAGGGAGGGGCAGAAGGACACTTCTGGGAGAACAAATGTCTTCTTGAAAGTGGGGAATAAAGGGCATTTATGGAAAAACAAATGACTTTTGGAAAGATAAAGCACTTAAGAGAGTAGATGGGAGATACTATAGTTTTACGATTGTCTATTTGGGTGTGGTGCCAACTTCTCCTCTCCAAGATGATTTAAGTTGCTCCAGGGGAGGGCATTTATGACAGTTGAGTTCTTTTAAGATGCTCTGCTTTTAGGCAGACAAGAGAATCCAGGAACTCAAATGCCCTCAGCTCGAAATAATTTTTACGCCACAGTGGTTTATACTGGACCCCTTCAGATGCAACGCACCCAAATGGCACATATTGTAAACACTTGGATTTGGATAGCTTTGCAATCTGGCATTTCTCAGTCCGTCAAGCTGCCTACAAAATCATCTTCTTAGAACTGTGGCAGCCTACCCGGAAATTCATGTTCTCTCTCATTCCGAGAAGGGTATTACACTAACAACAGGGGGCGAAGAGGAAGAAAAATTGTCTTCCTCCCACGAGAAAGCAAACACTGTCATCTACAGCCAGATCGCTTCCAGGTATCCGATCGTGTGTACATGAAGCACACAGACAGCCTGCAGGTTCTCAGGGAAATAATCAGACACACAACTCTGCGGCCAGAGAAGTCTGGTGCAGGGATGGCTTCGCTGAGTGCTGAGGTGGACGAGATGGGTGGAGACGCAGGAGGAGTGCAGGCAATCTCTCAGGGAGAGGCCTCGAAGGGAGGAGGCCCAGGAGCAGCATCCCAGCCAGTGCCAGTAGCTCAAGGATGAGCAGATAAACATGGAGAAACAAGAAACAAAGAATAGAAGGAAAGGGCGCCTGGGTGGCTCAGTTGGTTAAGCGACTGCCTTCGGCTCAGGTCATGATCCTGGAGTCCCTGGATCGAGTCCCACATCGGGCTCCCTGCTCGGCAGGGAGTCTGCTTCTCCCTCTGACCCTCCCCCCTCTCATGTGCTCTCTCTCTCTCATTCTCTCTGTCTCAAATAAATAAATAAAATCTTTAAAAAAAAAAAAAAAAAAAAAGAAGGAAAAACGAAAAAGAGACAAATCTGAAATAAAGGAGAAGCGAGTCAGTCAAGTGAAGAGCGATTCTTGGGGTAAAAGGAGGTTTGTCACATGTTTGTAATCCCTGGGGAAGGAACTCCTGCTGAGGAAGAGCCAGGATACAGACACAGGGGATAACTGATAGGGTCTTTGATCCAAGAAGCGGGGTGGGGGGGGTGGGGGGGTATTAGCTATGGAGTAGAAGGACAATTTTCATCAGAAACAAGCGTGGTGAAAGAAAGAGGGAAGATAAATCACGTAACCTCTCCAAGGGAGACTTGGTTTCTTTTCTACAAAATGAGATCATGGCACTAGATAAGCTCTAAGGTGTTATCGTCTATTTTAACATTTTAATAAATAATAGAATCGCATTGAGTCCTCTGTAGCTGTTTTGGGAGTTTTATTTTAGAGTGAAGTTTTGTAACTGATATGCTATTTATTATTTTGAAACAAAATACTGATGGACACATTATATATTTCTTGGAACTACTGAAGGAATCTTTATATTTCAATATCTTAATGGTGTGTGGGGGGGGATATTGTTCAGTGTCACTTATGTAATATTCCAGCTTGGAATGTGTAACCTGAATATCAGACTATGAGGAAACAGACAAACCCAAAACAAAGAACATTCTTTTTTTTTTTTGGTACTGTACTCATCAAAAAAATGCCAATGTCAAAAAAGCAAAGAAAGTTGGTGGAAATATTCCTGATTAAAGGAAACTAAGTTGATAAGACAACAAAATGCAGTATCTGATTCCAGACTCAATTCTGTACCACAGGGAAAAATCCTAAAATGGACATAAATTGGAATATTGATAGTGGATACCATGGATTAGGAAAAAAGTATTGTATCAGTGTTAAATTGATTAAAGTTGATAAACTTACTGTGGTTATCTAAAAGAATACCTCTGTGCACAAGAAATAGACATTGATATATTTTAGGGTAGAGGGCCATTGTCTTAGTCTTTTGGGGCTGTTACAACATAATACTACAGGCTGTGTAGTTTATAAACAGCAGAAATATACTGCTCACAGTTCTGGAACCTAGAAGGCTAAGATCAGGGTGCCAGCATGGTCTGGTGAGAGCTCTCTTCTGTGTTGGAAGACCTTCTCATTGTATTGTATCTCATTATGGCAGAAGGGGCTTAGGGAGTTCTATGGGCCTCTTTTGTAAGTCACTAATCCCATTCATAATTTAAGAACCTCCCGAAGTCCCCTCCTACTAATACCATCATCTTTAAGGGTTAGGATTTCAACATATGAACTGAGGGGGACACAAACATTCAGACCATAGCAGCCATGATGTATGCAGTTTACTCTCAAATGGTTGGGAGAGAAAAAAGGTGGGGGGAGTGATAAAGCAAGGGAGGCCAAATGACAATCTGGGCAAAGATTATATAGGTGTTCAATGTACTATTTTTATTTTTGCAATTCTTCTGTTAAATTTGAAATTATTTTCAAACAAAAAGTGAAAATATACATTGTTAGCTAAAATAGTACTTAGAGTTCTCTGTGCCAGCCCCAGAAGTTCCAGAAAATTCTACTTTAATAATAATGCAGTGCCTTACTGAAGGAATCTTTCTTGAAACAACTGAGTTGATACTATCTGTGTAAAAAAGCAAAAAATTAAGCATTTCATGATAATGTGAATTTGTAATAATAACTCTTAAGACTGCCCCACATTTTCTGTTCAGGCATATATTTGTCTTATAAAAATTAATTGCTAAACAGAAGGGGGAAAAAAATCAAAGGAACCAGGGAAATTCTAACTGTTGCTAAAGCAAAGAATTCATAAAAGGAGTGGTCATCAATGGACATGAAATTTGCCTTGGCTATAGGCAAAAAATCAACTTTGTAAATCGTAAGATACACAGAAGGCAAAGCTGATAGAAAATCTTCCTTTTTCTACTGCCAGAATATTGTCTTACCAAGTTCCTGAAGTGTCCGGAGCAGGCTGAATTATTCTTTTAGGATATGCAATAAAAGGGGTGCCGATTACAGGGGAATTTGGACTAAGCCAATTTTCCAATTCTTTTAAATGCGACGACAGATGATCTTATGATGCTGTGTATGTAAGGTTTGGTTTTTGTTTTTTACTATTAGTCACTGCTTTGAAAAACAGCCTTTAGTAAGATCTGCCTGTGAAAACTGGTACCCTCATGGTTCTGACTACCTTTCACCCTTTGTCCACCTGACCAGCAATGCAGCCATCTTCCTGAAGGTGGCGCTGTGCGTGAGCACTGTCCCCATGGCGCGGGGATGTGGAAAGGGAGGGGCTTCTCCGTGCTGCCTCCGCGCTAGGGCGCAGCATACACACACAAGGAGGACACGGTCTACTCCAGAACAATCCATACCATGGCGGATGGTACAGATAAAGAATGAGGTCATGAGCAGCTCCTATGCCACTCAAAGGTGTTGGGACTAAAATGGCACAAACTTTTGTTCTTATGTTCTAAACTGAAAATAAGGGTGTCGTTCTCAGAGTCATTATTCCGTGACCTTTTATTTGTCATTGTCTCACCTTCTTGTTTTTTCTAATTTTTCTTCCTACCCTCTCTTTTCACTTCCAAATTTGCTTTACAATTGATGTCGGTCTTTTCCCCCCCATAGAAATTATATTATCATTAAATAGAGAAAAAAAGAAACAAAACAAATGAACAACAAAAAAAGAAAAAAAAAATTAAAAACACAAGAAAAAGAAAAGAACTTATATTATCAAAAACTCCTTTGTGTACTGGTCTCTAACTGACCTAAAATATTGCCATAACTGCCAGAGAGTTATGGGAACGGAAGATTTTTGCGCTAGCCAGAAAAAAAGCTGAAGATCCAGAGTAAGATGTGGGCGTTCTGTTAGCTTGAGAGAGAAGCTAGAGGCAGGACACGCTGCTAGAGAAGTGGCCATTGGAAAATAGTTTCTCGTCAATATTGTCTTTTGGAGTTCACCTTACTCAAGGAGAATGTGCAAGAAATGATTGTTGAGGTTGACTGTTTTTTCCATCAATTAGCATGCCTCATTCCCACAAGAGTCATTTTTTTTCCAATTCATTTTTCAAGGATCATAGACAACAGATTTTCTCTGTCAAAATATAAAAGCACAGTACCAGTTCCATCACAAGTTCTTGGCCATCCTTCCTCTACTTTTTCCATTCTAGTCCAAAAACTAGAATGTGGCCTGGTTATGATGAGTATCTGTGGAGAAAAACCAGCTGGACTTTAAAACACAAAACCTATTCTTAGTCTTGATAAGTCTTGTTACAGCTTGTTGGGTAGTATGCAGATTGACTAACATTCCCGTGGCAACGTGAATTCCCCACATGAGCTCTTTCCCAAAGGAGGCCAGTGTGTTTTCAGGTGAGCCCTGTCCATGTCTAGACCATACAGGTGATGCTTCAGACACCACAGGTGGAACAAAAGTGGAAGGAAATAATACGAGTTCCTTTAAAAACTTGTAAACAAACTTTCAGAGAACATAATAATCAAGTGGGGTTCATAAAATAAGAGAAATGGTTGAGAAGTGATTTCTGTACTATCTTCCCTCTACAAAGGAGTAAGCAGTGAGTGACAGTGAACAGACAGGTCTTCTAAGGGAAAGGCAGTACGGAACAGACAAAAGCTGTAGGAAGAATTATGTTCAGATTAGAGTAGGACAAACTGCATCCCAGGTAAGACAAGAAACATTGCCAAGGAGGTTTTATGGCCTCTTTTTTCTTATTTGTAAGAAAGAGTAAACTTTCTTTTGTGAACGAAGTGCATTTATTCTTGTTTAGAAGCAGAAAGGTAAACCAGCTAGCCCCTCACATTTCCGATGATTATTCATCCCTTTCATCCAGAGAATCTCAAAGCTGCCAGGAACCTTGGAGATCATCCACTTCATAAATGAGGACGCCAGTTTAAACGACTGTCCAAAGTCACGCAGAGTTGACACAGCAACCCAGTCTTTGGGCCATAGTTATTTTCCCACCCCACAAAACCACCTCCTTAGTTTATCTATTTCCACCATATACATGGAAAGTTCACCCCCCCACACCTGCTTTCCCAATCCCACTCCCCACGTGTGTTTTGAGCAGCATTCCCGCCGAACGTCATGACTTCTCCATATGGTTGGGTCCACAGAGGACAGACACTAGGAGCCCCATCTGAGTGGTTAGCCCAGCTAAAACTCTAAGAAATGAAGGTCTTCGCTGAGGTCACAGCTAGCCTGTCCCAAGGCTCCAGCACCACGTGATTTACTTTCAGGGGACAGCACTGCATCTCACTTTTGACAGAATGTCTTCCTTTTTACCTTTGTAGGTTTCACAGCAGCAGCCTCCCTCGTGTCTTTGGCTTGGGCCTTGGCCTCCTACCAGAAGGCCCTCCGGGACTCTCGAGACGACAAGAAGCCCATCAGCTACATGGCCGTTGTCATCCAGTTCTGCTGGCACTTCTTTACCATTGCCGCCAGAGTCATCACCTTCGCCCTCTTTGCCTCGGTTTTCCAGCTGTACTTTGGGATCTTCATCGTCCTCCACTGGTGCATCATGACCTTCTGGATCGTCCACTGTGAGACAGAATTCTGCATCACCAAATGGGAAGAGATTGTGTTCGACATGGTGGTGGGGATCATCTACATCTTCAGCTGGTTCAACGTCAAGGAAGGCAGGACACGCTGCAGGCTCTTCATTTACTATTTTGTGATCCTGTTGGAAAATACAGCCTTGAGTGCCCTCTGGTACCTCTACAAGGCTCCCCAGATTGCAGATGCATTTGCCATCCCAGCGCTGTGTGTGGTGTTCAGCAGCTTTTTAACTGGCGTCGTTTTTATGCTGATGTATTATGCCTTCTTTCACCCCAACGGACCCCGATTCGGGCAGTCACCAAGTTGTGCTTGTGAGGACCCAGTCTCTGCCTTCACTCTGCCTCCAGAAGTGGCCACAAGCACGCTCCGGTCCATCTCCAACAACCGCAGTGTCGCCAGCGACCGCGACCAGAAATTTGCTGAGCGCGATGGGTGCGTACCTGTCTTTCAGGTGAGGCCCACTGCCCCATCCACCCCATCCTCTCGCCCACCACGGATTGAAGAATCTGTCATTAAAATTGACCTGTTCAGGAATAGGTACCCAGCGTGGGAGAGACATGTTTTGGACCGAAGCCTGCGAAAGGCCATTTTAGCCTTTGAATGTTCCCCGTCTCCTCCAAGGCTGCAGTACAAAGATGATGCCCTTATTCAGGAGCGGTTGGAGTATGAAACCACTTTATAAAATAGAAGGCCTCGGAGGAGCCACAACCTCCAGGTGAAGGGGTGAGAGCAGGGCCGTGGCAATAATGAAACTCTGTCCTAGAGCAGGGTAATGGGCTGTAACGCGCTTCGTCTGACCCTCCATCAGCTGACTGCCTGCTGCTGGTCTCCTTTCAGAACAGCGGCTGAAGGGAACGAACCGAACCATGCCAGCTCAGGAGGACTCCTTGTTGCTACCAGTCCCTCCTGCCCACTTTCAGCATGTCCACCAGAGGGTCCTATGAGCACGGAAAAGGTTGCCTCCAATCAATAGGGTGTTTTGATGGAGTTAACGGATCTTTGCATAAAAATATATTCAGTCACACGCACACACACACGCACACACACGCTTACACACATGGCAGCAGTCCTCTGTCAAAATAGCTTAGGTGATTTTTTTTTCTCGATGCAAAGCTCTGATTCTGAATATAAAAACAGAGAGAGAGAGAATATATCCCTCAAGACTCCAGAAAAAAAATAGTACTGACTTAGAAAAGAATTTCATAGACCATTCTCATTTGGAAACCATTACCATGCGTGCAAATCCTATCCCATGGACAGCAAACTCAACTGTTGTTTACATGTGTATTCGAATGGATGGAATGGTTCATTTTCAACACATTTCAGGATTTGTTTTTTTATTTTAAATTTTCAGTTGAGAACATCCTTTCCGACAGAAATCCTATGCAGCACATGTATGGCTTTCGACAAGACCAAGGAGCTCGATGATTTCATGACGTAAATTAAATGATAATCATGATTCAGTATTCAGTTGCAAAAATTTAATAAGTACATGAAGAGGAAGCGGGGAAACAAGGCAAAAACGAGCATCTGATTTCCCCGCCTGCCGCAGCTCACACCGGTAGGGAGGTGCAGAGCGGCAGGAGAGGAGCGTACTGAACTGGATGTTTCGAGATGCAGAAAAGCATGGCTCTGTGTGAGGACTCCAGAGCACGCCACGCCATGCCTTCGTAGTGCCAAACACCGTCCAACCACAGGACTGACGTGGAAGTCCCAAACACCCGAAAACCAGTGGCGCGAGCCCCCCAAACGTGGACGTGAGAGCACACCATGAAGCTCCCCACTGTGTACAGACTTGCCCCCCCCAATCCAAGGTCAAAGTGATGTGTCTTTTAGAGGCTTTGGGACACTTTTTAGTAAGTATGAGCAGACAATGCAGTGAATATGCTATGAGAAAACCCTTCCAAACTGATTGAGAGCTTATCACTAGATCCAGCTAAGATTTGTATTTGAATCATTTGTAAAGTCACACTCTTACGACAAACTTCTGGGTTTTAAATACCTCCGTACAGCAAGTAAACGTTCCCTGCTTTCTGTTCCCAGTGTCCTCGGTCATGGTGCTTTTTGTTGCATTAAAAGTGCCGGTCAAACTTTGATAGTATTTTTTTATAGTTGGTGCAGAGTGGAATAACTCATGGATTATTTCAATATTTTTGTAATAAAAAATATAGGGTATACATATAGGCATCATCACTTTTTTTATAGACCTGGAATCGTTTAAAATACTTTAAGCATCATAATTACTTGGGATGTCAGAAACTGGTCCACAAATTCCGTCAGCCTGCCTCAGCAGATTGAGAACACTTGTCTCTTGCAAGATCACCCAACTTTGCATGTTGGTGCCCCCAGGAACCTGGCCAGGGGTGCTCTCAGAGTATCAGGTGACAAGAGAATCAGCTTAACTAGAAAGGGCTTGTCAAGCAAGACTGGCCAATGTTTCCCAGGATGTGAAAGCTGTAAATGATTACTTTCATCCATCCATTATCACAAGCCTTACCACAGTGGAAGATGTCTTAAACTTCCTTCCCTGGTTTTATATTAACCCAACTTATATATTAAATATTAGTCAAGTCACTAAAAAAAAAAAAAAAACGAGAGAGAGAGAAGAGAAAAAGTCCGTTTAGCTTAATTATTTGGTTATTTGGACTGTACAATCCACTTAAAATAGTCCAGTTCAATAGCCACCACCTGTAGTGGGTGTGTCATGCATCACATCCACAGGAAATGGCAGAGGGCTCCACCTATGACTTCCTTTGGTACAAAGCCCCAGAGCAGTATTTTAAAAATAGATGATTTTTTATCAGTAGACATACTTTCCTAGTACTCCATGATTTGATCCTCCAAGCAAGATTTCCACTAAAAAATAATAACCTTTTGTTCGGATGTGAAAAGATTACCTAGTCGCCAGTAAAGGCCCAGGAAGACGCTCTTCTTGTCAGCAATTGGTGAAAACAAGGCCACCCCCACTGTAGAAGGAAAAAAAATGATTATATTGGCAAAAATTCTTCACTTTTGTGCAGTTATTAGCTTCCTTATTTCCAAGAAAACTTTTAATTGATGATCTTTGGAAACTGAATGGCTCAGTTGAACTATACCTTTGATTCCATGAGTAAATACCAGATTACAGGTAGAGTGGTCAATCAACACAAACTCAGCAGGCCCCACCACGCCTCAATCATGTAAGTCCTGAGTTATTTCTCAGTTTGATCCCTCATTTAACATGTGAAGAGTCAAAATGAGTGCCGTGTGAATAAACAGTAATGTACTATGCTTTGTCTTGGAGGTAAGAATACAGGTAGGAGGGTGTCAGATGTTTGCATTTCTCAGTGATTTCCCAAATACTGTAAATACTCTGTTATCCAACACACTTGGAAGACTGTGATGTTTCAGTTAGTCAAAAATTCTTGCTAAGGAAATGACAGCTCCACCATAAATTCTTCTAAACTTTCTCAAGATTACAAGAACCATAAAAATTTACTTCTGAGGAAAATCATGACCTAATCTTCTTTCCATGATTCAGAAAAACACTGCACTGCCCTCAGATGGTGTGGTGATGAGAACCGTTATTAGTTTCCAGATACACAGATAACAGAGAGTTTAAAGTATTAGGATTTAAAAAGACACTGTCAATGTACAAAGGAACAAAGTTTGATTTTTGTCTTTGTATTTTAGTTCTTCCTGAGATTTTATTTTCAATCTGCCATGAAACCCTCCACAGACAGTAACCGGAGAATCCAAAAAAGAACACGCTATGGTTAGCATACAGATTGGAAATGCTGGATTCTTCCTCTGTGAGACCCGACTTCCTGTGTCTGAGTCTACTTGGATTCTCTGCGGGGAGAGGGGGTCCTGGTCTTAGCACTCACTTTTTTGCATAGGACCATAAAATTTTCTAAGAGAAAATGTTAAGCATTTTTTTCACTTTCAAATTAGCATTTTAAAATGAAACTGTATTTAAGATTAAAGAACATACATATCTTAACCATACTGAGATTTTTAAGTATTTGTGTGGAGGGAAAAAAAATTTTTTCCATGTTAAGTCAAAGTTTGGTTCCCCCATAATGACTATGTCCTTTAAATTCTCTTGGCCATTAACACTGACCTACTTAACTATGTGCTATCTCGTTCAAAACAACTGACTTTGCAGACACTCAGTTACTATCCACTTATGATAATGCTGTGAACCCAAGAAACGAAATAAATTCTCTTACTTACTTGGCAAGAACATGCAATTCGAGTATTACCACAATATAAAATACAAAGATAACCCGAAAATAAAAGTATAATGACATATGTATGCTAAATTCCCAAATGCCCAGTTTATTTTGCTTTAGGAGTAAATGAAGTGATAGCACTGACCAATTAAAAGTGAATGGGAATCACCGAAATCTCAATGACTGTATTTTAAGGTATCGTAACATGTATATATGTTATATATGTATATATATAACACACATGTATGTTTTACATACACACACACACAACTAAAGGAACAAGATGGAAAAGATGAAGTATATACTGCCCTTTCATGCATATCACCTGGTGTGTTACCGACACATGAACTTTTCGTGGAAAAGCATTTTCCTCTTCTTTTGCAGCCCAAGTTTACGGTCCCTGTCTATAAGACATCCACATTCTTGTAACGTGGGAAATGCCTAAATGCAACTTAGCACTTAGAGCTTAAATAAGTTGTATCACTCCAAAAAGATTTCGTCTTTTAAGCAGCTGAATAGTGTTTTGAATCATTTCAAAGTTTCTTTCTCCCAGCAGGTTGAACTGAGCAAAGAAAAACTCTCGTGTCCTTACCAGGATTGTGTAAGGCTACACGTTTGCCTTTAAATGTACTAAATGCCATTGAGTGGAACAAGTTCTCCCACAATGTTTAGACAAGGATCCACTTTTTTTCTAATGAACCATTTTCTAGACTAAATATATGCTCCCCTGCATTTGCATACATCTTTGCCATTAGCCATTACTGTTTCTATATAAAGCTTGGATGAGATGCCTGCATTTTTATGTTTCTAAGGAGAATTCCTTAAAGCCTTTTTAAAAATAGCTCAGACTGTCTTTCAGAAATATAGCTCAGAGGATGCTTGAAGTGCATGGTGAAAACATAGCCGATCTGAGGTGGTTGTTTCTATAAATTCAGTGATGGATGCAGATCAACTCATGTTCATTTATCTTCAATGGTCCAGTGTCACTTTTGAAAACAATCAAAATGATTGCTTCTGCCAGCTTGTAAATCATAACACCCTTCTTCCTCTTCTGAAGCTGGGGCATTTCAACATGGCTGAGGAAGGGCCATTTCCCCCTACCGCCCACTCACCCCCGCCGCACCCTACCTCCATTTCCAAGTCTCTGGCCCTGACCTGTCTCAAGCTGTGAAGTGATCTCAGCAGTTGGGTTGCATCTCCCCTGCTCACTCAGGCAGGCTGCACTGTCCACTGCAGTATGCGGTCCAGTTGCTATCCTAGAAATGGGCACACAGACTCAATCTGTGCCTGCAATCAATAGTTTCAACAGTAGGATTACTCATTCAACAGTAAAACTCCGCGGAATGTGGGTGGAATTGTATAAAAACACAATGAGCCATTTAATTTTGTTAATTGTAGCAATTAGGCTAGCTCGAACACAGCCTGCGCTCACAGCAGAAAGCCAAGTGGAAGAAATGGCAAATAGCCATTTGCCCACAGAAATGAGGGGTTCAGAAACTCTCCCTTGAGTGTTTAAGGCATAATGTTGTTTGATCATCCATCTGAAGCTCTTTCTCTAGATTCCATAAGAAAAGAAATCAGACCCTTGTTATATTGCATGCAGTGATCTAATTCCGAAATGTAAAACTCCAGTCAACCTTTTGTGGGGCTATGTTCTGTTCAATAAGGTATGGTTTCATGTCCCTGAAATGCCTAGTTGTTTTGCTAAAATATTTTACTCATAAATAGTATGCTGACATAATATGTCAGAAATACTGGCAAACTCAAATATTTGCTTTGGTTATTTCTTTACCCTTAGATTTTCTTGCAGTTCTGTTCCCCATATTGATGGTGACTTACCATGACTAGGAACATATGTGCCCAGTGCTGGGCTACAGAGCTTTACCTGTGTGATCTCATTGAATCCTCACAACCATCTATGAGTTAAGTACCATTTACAGATGACAAAACCTAATCTCAGAGATACTAAACAAATTGCCAGAGTTTCCACACCTAGGAAACAGTGGCACTGAGAATTGAACACAACTTGTAACAACTTTTAACAACTGCAAATTTTTCTAGAAGACCAAGGAATATTTTCCCACCGACATCTATTTCTGATTTGGCAAGCTTTCAGGAGAAACAAAATCCTGGTCTGATAATGAAATTTTCCAAAGCAAGTTTCCTTAAAGTCTTCCAAGATGAAAAGTTAAAAATAAAAGTCAATGATGAGAAATGGAAATTGCTATCACCTGTAACTGAATTTTACTTCCATTCCCTAATTCATAGTCGGTAGTTATGTGCTATTCTTCCATTCTGGACAATGGCCTCCTCCATGACCCTACTCTACACTAAAGTAAGAGATAAATATAAAATAACTAGATGGTTCTCCTCTTGTATTCTGTGCATGTGCTATATTGTCATCCAGTTAGGCACACTGAAAAATAACTAAATTCCAGTACTTACTTTGACACTCTGATGGAGAAAGAGACAGAGAAAGAGAGAGAGGAAGGAAGGGAGAGAGGATGGAGAAAAGATAGATCAACAAACATTTAAAGTGACATTATTCTATCCCATTGCCATGATTTTTCTCTAAATTTTATGTCTTGCAGTTCACAAAATTTAATATTTAAGAGGATTACTATACCATTAGCTTGACCCATCATATAAACTGAGGAATCTTACCTTAGATTGAAAGGTTAGATGTAAAGAATAAAGCAAACGTTTACCAACTATTTGTTGAATTGATTATAAAATGATTGATATGTCCTTTCCCTCCTCACTTTTGGTGTGGCAAGTCTGAGTTCTACAGGATTATAGTCAAAACCTGTTCAATGACTTTGTATAGTTAGTTGTGTGTGATGTTGCTGGAATTGATTCTAAACAAATAGCCAGTAATAAACCCCACATTTTCTCAACCTTGGTATTTATTTTAGAAAAATATGCAGTGATCAATCTGACTTTAGTGTATGAAAAATACAAGCAATCTTCTCTCTTACTGCTTTGATAAGATTCAAGCAGATCTTGATGAAGATATGTTAAATTAGAAGCCACTAATTTTTATAGAAAGTAGCATCTGAAAGAGATCTAAGTGTTACTTCAGCACATTCCTTTTATAGATGAGACAACCAAGATCCAAAGAGATCAGGTAATTTTTGCAATCAGGATTCCTTCAGTCATCTGTTCAGTCAGCATCATCCACAGGATGAGCATTGCCAGGCAATACACAGCCAAGTGCAGAAGGAGTCTTGCGATCCAGCGGCTTACATTTTGGTTATCAGTAGTGGAATAGGAGTCTTCGGACTTCAACTCTTTTTTGCTCTGCTACACAGCTCCTATTTTTAACATCTACATTTAATTCCATACTAGAGCAAAAAAGAAACATAGCTTTCCCAATACTGTATTATGGAAGCCTCATAATAGACAAATGCCACACTCAATGACAAACATAAGATAGTGATGTCCATATAAAGATAAGTCAATAATGGTTGACTGTCTATAAAGAGAAAAGTAATTTTATGATTTGTTTTTATGCCTCTTCAACATGAGACATTTTTAAATCGAGGTCCCAAAGCAACAAAGAGAAATTGAAATACTTTTTAGGCACATAGCACTTGACTCAAAACAATCATATCTGAATAACTTTTGGAGATATTCCTGAGAACCCCTTTTAAGAAGAGACATGAAACGAGGATGCCTCTAAAATGTCTGAAGACTTTTCTAATAGGCTACTTCTCTGATCTTCAGGAAATATCCTTCATTAGCACATCCCCTAGATCTCCAGCATAGTAGTTATTTAGGAATAACACATTTCCAGACCTAACCCTCAGTTACTACAACCTGAGAGGTTGGTCTAAAGCCATACTTCCCATGCCCAGAAGAGCAACACTGTGCTGTATTACATTCAGGAATCCAGACAGCCAGACTCACCTCACTCACTATGCCAGCATAATACACAAACCTAGTCTCTCCCTGCAATGTGGGCACGTGGTTGGCTCCCCACAGATGTAAGGAGTATATTACTTAAAGGTAACTATTAACTTGCATAACTAATTTGCTCCAAGTGAAATAATTCTGATCAGGGAATGCATAAACCCAAAGGTTCTCTAAGGAGTAAAAAGAAAGAGAAAAAAAAACAGATTAATTTGTATAAGCACATAATAATTCAAGGAATTCCTTGGTGAGTCCCATTAAGCATCACTATAATAGTTGACCTAATAACGGTGGGAAGTGTGAGGCATGGTTTCTAGGTTCAAGCCCCTATAAGTAGTTCATTACTGTGATTACTGCTGTTTTAGCCATTGCACCAGCCAAGAAGAGTACAGTTGCTGATTTGATGTTTGCAGAGCAAAGATCATGATAATAAAACAGATCAGCATCAAAACTAATTAATCAACTTGATAAGCAAATATTACCAGCCCAGTACCAACACAAAATGTTCTCTTGTGTTCTTATTAAAGCCTGTCACCTAACTCCGTTATTAGAATTTCAGAAAATGTAAGGTTTCATGTTTTTATTATACTTCCATTTATCAAATTAAGCTGGTGGCCCTCTCCTCTCTCTATTGCTTGATTTGCATTAAAATGGAACTAATCAAATTCTTATTTCATTTAAGTGCTACAAATATTAACAAATGGAGATGTTACGTTTGAGCTAATTTAATTTAACTGTTCTAGTGGCATTCTGGTATGGAGTTGTATCAAATCAACACTCTTAATTATTTCAAATTAATTCATTTATCAGTAAGTTCTACAACACCCCTAAGCACGTTGAAAATATAGCTTAGGTTTCTATCCTTGTACGAAATTCCTATTTTGATTACAAACCAGTAGACCGTGTTTTAATCAATGTCAGCATTTCAATCCATTGTGATTCTGGAAAATGAGTGTGTTGGGTACTGCTATGTTAACTTAGCAATTAACCTTTGGCCAGGTCTTTCTATAGGCCCCACTGTGAGTTCTTATTCATTCAAATTGGGAGCAATAGCACATCATCCTGTAACCAAAGGAGATCTAGTCAAAGAATTGTCATTTTATATCCTTCTTTCAAAGAACTAAAATATTCAACTTTCCTTATTAACCTTTCTAATGTATTGTACATAGAAAAGGAAATGGATCACTGAAATATGTTCTGAAATCCTGGGGTGAAACCTTTCTCTTGATCTGAATCTGAGGCTTGGTGCCCTGTGAAGAGGAATAAATCTCTCTCGTGCCATGAGGAAAGGGAAAGGGGACGAGCCAATCACTCAGAAATGTGAGCCTCGACTGTCACAAAGATGTATATTGCTGATGGTATCGATTCCCTTCTTTTTTTACAGAAACATCTTGGAACTTGTCAAGCTTTACTGAAGGTGATTTGCATTAATTAATGCAACAGACCCTTTAATCTTGCAAATTCTTGACTTGTAATATTGTAGCCAAGCTACCACGAGGGAAAATTAATCAGTTAGTGGGAAGGAGCACTCGTTCAGTCCGCGCCGAGCTGTGCCCAGGCCTGAAGAGAAAGACCTCTATGAAGTAGAGCACTAATGAATTCATGCTACCTGCTTCCTCATCATTCATGCTATGAATATTCATCCGCTTCATTTGTTTTTGCCAGTAAGCGCTGCTTTGAAAAAGAAAAATGTTGATGGATTCTTGGGGCTTGCAGAGCTCAGAGAATAGGTACTGGGTCATGGTGACTCCTGTTAAATGGATACAAATCTACTTGTGTTTGGAAATGAAAAAAAAAATGTCATTGTCATATCTTTAATGATCAATCTGAGTACCATGGCTGCCCTCACTTGGTTTCTTGAGAGGACTGTTGTCAGCATTGTAATAACGAATTTATGAAAATTGAATCTGTAATTCCATTTCAGAGGTAAAATCTGCATAGATGTAACCATTCAATAATTTCATTCCTGCCTTTTGGGTGGTGACATTGTCGGTTTCAAACTGAGGTACATGAGTTTATGGTATTGGCCCTCCTGTTGTTTCTGAGATCCGACAAGATGTCAGGTACAAGCTATGAGATCAAGTAGAGATTCTTATTGCCTAAATGCTCACTTAAAAGTAAACAAGTAGTCTCATAATTTAAAAAACTCATGGTTCTTTCCCACTTGCTTCTCTGTTTCCCAAGAAAGGTTTGAACTGCAAGATAAGAATGAATATACTTCAGATTGTAGTCTCATAGTTGGCAAGCGTCAGACATCCATATGTTCTTATAAAGTTTCTGTCTAAACTTTTAGTAGAACGGTGTCAGGAGTGAACCCTAGATGAATGAGTGAAAGTCATCAGGTTTATCCAATAAGCAACCTAGCAGAAAAATTTTAGAAAAGAAGCAGGGATCCTTTTTCTTGGGTTTTAAAGATGTTTCTCCTTGCTAAGTGACCATCTTAGTGATTTGAGAGTTCCTGAGTGGTAGGCCCAGTTACAGGCATCAGTATCGTGCTGCATACCCTATTCTGTCAAAGTCATTTTTCAGAACTAACTCTTGGCACAAGCACTGAAATTTAATGGCAAAAACTGGCCTACTACCATGCGACTTATTTTCAATTGCAAGGCAATGAAAACTAATAAGCTGAAGAAAATTTTAATTTCCTGAACTCCAAAGCCAAAATGGGCACAAAGAGACTCTGTAACATACAATTAGTTGGTCGACTGTGGGGACCCAGGAACAATAAACAATCCTCTTAAGCAAGGCTCATGAGTGAGAGTGGCTATAAGCTGTGTTGGGACAGAAGGTGATTGAAGAGGATGCCTACCAATTGCTCATCAAGAATATTTGCCTTTTTATAGAGCAGAGGTTCAAAGTAGCCCCTGTCATTCCCTAACTATGAGGATAGATACATCCATATATGA